TTCTCTTTGTAACCTGATCGTAGGATTCTATTAAGCCTGATTTACCCTCCCTGAACCCATGTTGATGGGTTGTCAGGAAGTCCCTTCTCTCCAGATGTGTTACTAGGTTTTTTCTCACGATTTTCTCCATCACCTTGCATGGTATACAAGTTAAGAACACTGGCCTGTAGTTCAGTGCCTCTTGTCTGTCACCCTTTTTGTATATTGGGACTACATTAGCAGTCTTCCATATTTCTGCTAGGTCTCCGGTTTCCAGTGACCTACTATACACTATGGAGAGTGGCAAGCAAAGTTCCCACACTCTTTCAATACCCATGGTGAGGTAGGTGTGTGAGTGAGTGAGTGAGTGAGTGAGTGAGTGAGTGAGTGAGTGTGTGTGTGTGTGTGTGTGTGTGTGTGTGTGTGTGTGTGTGTGTGTGTGTGTGTGTGCGGGCAGCGCGTGAAGGGAGCAGGGAGGAACACTGCCAACATTCGTCAAGAGGAAATGCTAAAAACGGGTCATATTAAACCCAAGCGGCTCAAGGTACGGCGAAGGAATAATTAATTCACGATACCACATGAGAGAGACGGAGCGGGGAAGACCCCAGACACTAAGCTCTTAACCTCCCACAACAACATACTAAAACTCTGCGCCGGGACAAGTGTTATTGTAGTAACAAGTATGATTGTAACTTAAATATACAATTATTATTGACATAATTGGGGGACGGTCTTGGGACCAGTTTAATTCTTCATTTACATAAATGCCTTTAATTAAAAGTTATGCTAAACATACAAGTTTATGAACAAAGTTTAGTGACAATCTTCGCCGATGTCACTAAACTTAAACATCTTAGTTAACTGATCTAATGAACAGCAGACGAATTTTAATGAAAATGTGTGTGAAGTTATACGCATTGGAAAACAAAAATGAAAGATGAGTTATTGCATGAAAATTATTGAGTTAATGAACGCAGTGGAAGAGACCTGGGAGTGACCGTGGCTGGTGACCTCGGGACAAGTCTGGGTTCGAGCCCTGAACAGGGAGGGTCGACTGGGCACCGATCCTCATCTTTTCATCCCTGATCACCCAGCGGGTGATTACTAGGGATCTGTTTGTAAACAGATTAGTGAAATGTAGTGGCTTACCCTTCAATACAGTTAAGAGAAAGCTCTAAACCGACTAACAGGAGTCGAAAGTCAGCAACTCTTGCACCCATGTAAAAATGTAACAATGCCCTGTCATGGCGCCTGACAGCTGGGTGGACAGCGCTTCGGATTCGTAGTCCTGAAGTTCCGGGTTCGATCCCCGGTAGAGGCGGAGACAAATAGGCAAAATGTTGCTTTCACCCTGATGCCCCTGATACCTAGCAGTAAATAGGTACCTGGAAGTTAAGACAGTTGCTACGGGGTGCTTCCTGGGGGTGGAGGCCTGGTCGAGGACCGGGCCGCAGGGACACTAAGCCCCGAAATCATCTCAAGATAACCTCAAGATATTCCTTAGTGCGTCTTGTTGTAGAATACTGCATACAGATTTCGTCACCATATTCGACAGGGGAAATTGGGAAACTAAAAGGTGTTTAGGGCTTAGAGGAAGACGACTCCAAGACCTAAAAATAAATCACATCAAACTCGTTGGAGAGAAGAAGAAGAATGTGATGTGACAATACCAATACTTAATAATATGAAAAAGCTCGACTTTTTCGAGCTTTTATGATTCGAGTCGAAAAACCTTGACTCGAATCATAATTCATAGAAGCACTTTAATTTTACACAATCCGATATCATGCACAACAAAAGCTCTAAAATTATAGGTAAATGATTTCACTCCACTAAAACAAACTACCTTTTCTTACCAAGAGATATAATTCAGAGTAATATCGCCGATACATTTTAATAGACGAGACATGAACAGATGAAAAGTCACAATATAGTGGCTGAAAAATGTTGACCAAGCCACACACTAGAAATTGAAGAGACGTCGACGTTTCCTGCTTGATGGGGTTCTGGGAGTTCTGCTACTCCCCAAGCCCGGCCCGAGGTCAGGCTCGACTTGTGAGAGTTTGGTCCACCAGGTTGTTGCTTGGAGCGGCCCGCAGGCCCACATATCCACCACAGCCCCGGGTGATCCGGAACTTCTCTTAGAAAACAGTTGTTTTCTCTTGAAGATGTCCTCGGTTGTCCCGGCATTATTTCTTATAGTCGCTGGGAGGACGTTGAACAACCGCGGACCTCTGAAGACGTTTCGGTCCGTCCGTTCTGGACCATTAGCAAGTCGATTGCGATGAAATGAGATCGATTGATTGATGAAGATTAAGGGGGCGGGAAATGAGTTTTTCAAACTTGCTCAAACGCTTTAAAAAGTTTTATCCATACTCAATTAGGCACATGCTCCAACTTTGTCTAAATGATCATCAACGTAACTTAAAAAACAAGAAAATTAAAAATAATTAGATAAATGAATATTGACAATTTCGGATTTACAAATGCACCTCAAAAATATTAAATATCATAAATTGTTAATTTGGTGTTATTATTCTCTCAGAATAGAGTATGATCTTCACTCTACTAAGTTATATTTCTAAGATTTAGTAGAGTTTAGTGTAAAAAAAAAAATGTCAATATGGCATTTAAAATATGCGAAAAATTTAGACCAAAAAATTCATAACTCCAAAAGTTTAGGGTTTATGAAAAAAATAAGCTTACAAAATTATAGAACAGACAGCTATGCACACTATATGTAAAAAATTATAAGAATCGGTCTGAAACTGGATTTTTAAAGCTGACTCAAAATTGAAATTCTCGAGATTTCCCCACAACACAAAATATAATATCAATTATAATGATTTAGGGGATCTATATGCAGACTTTATGTAAGTAAAAAAGACCTAATCTGGTAAATAATCATCAAAACAACCTAAAGAGACAAAGAAAATAGAGTTTGAAATCTGTGAAAAAATCACCCACAAACAATTCGAAGTTCAGCCAGTTGTGACTGAATTATTTGTTGACCAATTTCATTCTACCTTAACATAGTTTGGGAAGGTTATGCACTCTACAGCACGTGACGGTTGTTAGGGAAGGTTATGCACTCTACAGCACGTGACGGTTGTTAGGGAAGGTTATGCACTCTACAGCACGTGACGGTTGTTAGGGAAGGTTATGCACTCTACAGCACGTGACGGTTGTTAGGGAAGGTTATGCACTCTACAGCACGTGACGGTTGTTAGGGAAGGTTATGCACTCTACACCACGTGACGGTTACAAAAAATCTGAAAATAAACAAACTAGAAGGAAAATAAATATCCTAATTTTTTTTTTTTTGGAGGGGTAGACATTGACGAAAGTAACATTGACATTGGGCAATGTATTTATATGATATATAACAAAATAGAGCATAACAACAAAATTACTCATTATTATTTGTGTTATTATGTATTACTCATCAATGCTATAAAGGCACCAGCTGTATATCCACTTTGTGGATACTTCTTACTACTATTCTTCTTCTTTGTCCATCGGACAGGTGCTTGCATCTCTTTATTACAGCATTATTCTTCAGTTCCAGTTTATAGGAGCTGTTCTGCTGGTGCTCAGCTGGTGCTCAGCTGTGGAGCTGGTGCTCAGAAAAGACGAAATGTTGTCACAGATCCGATTCCTTGCCTTCACTGCCTAGTCTGGTCATAACGATTTCAATGCCATGCAGCTGGGTCTAGCCCTGGCACTTTACCTCATACTGAAAACCCTTCCTCTCACCCCCACTAATTCTTCCCCTATCCCCACTTCCACGCTCACTCATTAGGGTATCTTGACCTATATTTAAATGAATGAATGAAGCTGTTCTCCTTATCAACAAAACGTTCTTTTTTTTTTAAATCGTCTAAAATCCATTTCTGAAAATATTGGGATGAAATTTTCACGACGCTGAAGCCAATAAGTTGGAGATTTGTTTAACATTTATCTGTAATTTTCATATACCTGTAATTCGAATATTTGTCCGCCCCCTTAAGCCACCCAAGAGATGGCACGGGCATGAATAGCCCGTAAATGAGACGATGGAGTCAAGAGCATAAAGTTAGCCAAGAGAGACAGGTGAGAAGACGGAAATCTTAGAGGAAGAAAAAATCAAGGCTAAAGATACGGAAGGCAAGGTGTAATAACAGGAGTAACAATGGGAACGTACGAGGAACAAGAGACAGAAAAAGAAAGAGAAAAATGAAGGATAGGCTTCAAAGGTAAGGGAAGGGTAGGAGCAGAGCTCAGCCCCCGCAAGCACAACTAGGTGAACACACACACACACACACACACACACACACACACACACACACACACACACACACACACACACACATACACACACACACACACACACACACACACACACACACACACACACACACACAAGCGAGCCACAGAGACGTTAGAAAGAACTTTTTCAGTGTCAGAGTAGTTAGCAAATGGAATGCATTAGGAAGTGATGTGGTGGAGGCTGACTCCATTCACAGTTTCAAATGTAGATATGATAGAGCCCAATAGGCTCAGGAATCTGTACACCAGTTGATTGACGGTTGAGAGGCGGGACCAAAGAGCCAGAGCTCAACCCCCGCAAGCACAATTAGGTGAGTACACATGCAAATAGCGGATGTTCTCTCAGTCTGTCAGCCTCACCAAAGAGCAGGAGAAAGAGAGAGAGAGAGAGAGAGAGAGAGAGAGAGAGAGAGAGAGAGAGAGAGAGAGAGAGAGAGAGAGAGAGAGAGAGAGAGAGAGAGAGAGAGAGAGAGAGAGAGAGAGAGAGAGAGAGAGAGAGAGAGAGAGAGAGAGAGAGAGAGAGAGAGAGAGAGAGAGAGAGAGAGAGAGGGGAGAGAGAGAGAGAGGGGGGGGATACATTGAATTATACGACACCTCTGAGCGGCGTCAGTACCGAGCTCAGGCCGACTGACAAAATGAAACACACATTACTGCCCGAGTGAACCTCGGATCACTGGGTGAGACAACCTCGACTGTCAGAGAGAGACACTAACCTGGGCTTTCGTTGGCTTGTTGTCAGTATTGTTCATGAGAACCTCGAAGGCCGTGAGTACCTCGGTGGGTGGGAACTTGAGGGTCATGTCTACGAAGTACTTGGAGTCATTGTAGAGGCGAGCCATCTGCACCGTCTTCAGAAGCTCTCCGTGGCAGTAGATTTCGCTGAGGGGAGGAGAGAGAGTCAGAGATAAGTACATCTATAAGTACAGAGATAAGTACATCACACTCCCCTCAGGCAGAGGGGAGTGTGTGGATGGCTTTTAACGTTCTTCTTGCAGCGAGGGGAAATAAGGGCAGGTTAATTATGTGATTGTTGGTGTCTGTGAGAAAGAGGTGGGAAGGTTTCTTAGTAAGGAGGGGGAATATAATGATAATGAAAGGTATCACAGGAGAGAATGTGTTAGGTCTTGAGGGGATGGTTCATGGCCAAACGAACTACTAAATCTGTTGATTAATGGACTGTGTATCTCCTCCCCAGGCCACGCGAGGGCCTCGAATGCTGAGAGAACGCACCGTAACTCTGCGTTCAAACCAGGACAAGATGAAGAGTGTAGGAGGCTTCAGCCTCAGCCAGGGAGACCTCGTCTTTAGCCCTAGGGCGGTGGAGCCTGTCTGCCTTCCATCCTGAGGGAGAATGGATCTACTTACACACTACTCATATACTCACTTACTCATTTACTCACCTCTCTCGCTCACACTCTCAATCCCTCTCTCGCTCACACTCTCAATCCCTCTCTCGCTCACACTCTCAATCCCTCTCTCGCTCACACTCTCAATCCCTCTCTCACACTCTCAATCCCTCTCTCACACTCTCAATCCCTCTCTCACTCACACTCTCAATCCCTCTCTCTCTCTCACACTCTCAATCCCTCTCTCTCTCTCACACTCTCAATCCCTCTCTCTCTCACACTCTCAATCCCTCTCTCACTCACACCCTCACTCTCAATCCCCCTCTCACTCACACTCTCAATCCCTCTCTCACTCACACCCTCACTCTCAATCCCCCTCTCACTCACACTCTCAATCCCTCTCTCACTCACACCCTCACACTGTATAAACATCAGAACACTCTATAAACATCAGAGGTCCGCGGTTGTTCAACGTCCTCCCAGCAAGCATAAGAAATATTGCCGGAACAACCGTGGACATCTTCAAGAGGAAACTAGATTTATTCCTCCAAGGAGTGCCGGACCAACCGGGCTGTGGTGGGTATGTGGGCCTGCGGGCCGCTCCAAGCAACAGCCTGGTGGACCAAACTCTCACAAGTCAAGCCTGGCCTCGGGCCGGGCTTGGGGAGTAGAAGAACTCCCAGAACCCCATCAATCAGGTATCAACCAGGTAACTCTCAATCCCTCTCTCACTCACACCCTCACTCTCAATCCCTCTCCCACTCACACCCTCACTCTCAATCCCTCTCTCACTCACACCCTCACTCTCAATCCCTCTCTCACTCACACCCTCACTGTCAATCCCTCTCTCACTCACACCCTCATTCCCTCTTTCTTTCACTCACTATTCTCTCACTCACAAATACATATAGAAATATGCAGTAAAGTTCAGCTGAGAATAAATGAAAGAGGAAGATATTTCCATTCGAGTGCACCCCCCCCCCCATCATGCTACACATCCCACATACATGGATATACAAATACATAATAGTTGACATGCATGTATAGATACGCAACTGCTTTACATACTCATCAGTGTTCAACCGTGGCAACCAGAGAGGAAGGCTTGGCAGTTCGGCGATGGTGTAAGGACTCTCACGTACCCTCAAGTGAGACGAGGGAAGTGGTTGTGTGGTAGTCCTTCAACCGTATTTTAAAGTAATTTTTGGCAATAAAACAGCATACGAGTTTGATAGAGACTCGGTATATACTGTAGTAAATGTAAGCAAAGTATGCCAATGATCTGAATGTTAATTACAAAATAAATATTTGTGGTATACCGAAAGAAAACGGTATAAATACGAAGAATGCACAAACCCTCTTGGGTGACGTAGTCTCTGTTTTGCCAATGTGGAATCTTTTTCTATTCTTAAAGTAGTGGAGTTAGTAGCAAGATATATCTACTGTAGATATGTGATATATATATATATTCGTAGGATGTAGCGGCGATTATATGTGGAATGCATTAGGTGGTTTCTGGCAGTTTGAGGAACCATCCTCCTGAAATGATAGTACCTTCCGTAAGTATGTGGTCGGTCGTGGACCTCGCCACCAGAGGTCACCGTGTGAGGGTGTGTGGTGCGAGCGCTCCCTCAGTCTGGACTCAGCTGTAGTGAACTCTACATCAGGGGGCAGCCTACCGGCTGTTAGGAGTTGGCGCGATGGGGACCCCCTCTTCCCCCTATTTGCCGTTCAGAGACCATTGGTCTTGAGTTCACGGAGCGGGCGTCGTTCCTGGCTGTAGAGATTATTCTCCTGGATATGCTCCGTGTTCGTGTGGAGGATGTGTTTGGTGTCCAGCTATTAACGAGAGCACTTGTCAAGTTCCTCTCCCTGGATGTGTTTAACGACTTCGTGGCCTGTTATGATGGGCGCTCGTTTACCCTCCCTGGCGACGGGGGGTACTGTATCTGTCTCCGACCGCTGTTGTTCTCTAACATGTGTGGCATTACATGGTGTTCCCTTCGAGTTCACGGAGGCCCTGCTACGACAGGTACTTTGGACAATATGGCGCTGTGGTTTCTCACCGGCTGAATTCTGTCTCTTCCGGGAGGTGGTGTGGAGTCTCGTGTGGTTCCAGAACTCTCGCCCTATGGCTTAAGTCTCCCATCCCGTCCTCCGTTACGTTGATGGGGGCTATACGTGCCTTTTATGCTGGCCAGCCAAGGACATGTTTTCGATGTGGCAGTGACGGACACCAGGCAGCGGCGTGTGTGCGACTTGCAGCTGCGAAAGTGAATTTGTTCCATGAAGAGGATTTCCCCTCATTGGTTGGCCAAGATCTGTCATCGTGTGATGGTGTGGTGGAGGCTGCCTTGCCATCTGCTTCTCCGATGGTCTTACCTGGTTCCTCGGATGGTGTACCCGTGCATGCAGGTTGTGGTACTAGTTCTGGGGTGGTTGCGTGTGTCAACCCTCTCCAGCAGTCGCAGAAGCAGCGTGCCCCCTCTCCGTGGCCGGCCTCTTCACCCCTGCAGGCTTACCAAAAGAGGGCATCATGCCGGGGAGACTGTATCACCATCAAAGGCGCAGGACATTCAAAGGGTGCTAAATATCACTAAGGATCCCAATACAAGAACAAAAGCACATAAGGCGAACGAAATCAAAGGTATCTGATTTTATATCGCCGGTCCAAGCACGACACAAGCGAGAGTGAGGGTGTTGTAGGGACCGCGCAAGGTAGCAAAAAGAGTAGCGATCACGACGACCCTGTAGAGAAAGGACACCGGTTTCAACATACAGGCTCAGGGTAGTGGACGAACGAAAGGCACCAGAGCTGAAGTGTAACCTTCGTATGATGCTGAGCATCAAGATGACGAAGAGTTGAGGGAGAGGCAGACGAGTAAGCAGGATAACCCTAATCGAGTATAGAGAGCATGAGATAGGAATGTAAAGAGAGGAGCGTGTACCTATTAACTCCCCAGAAAGTCTAGGAAAAGATCTTAAGTAAGTTGAGAGCCTTAGAGCATTCAATTCGGAAGTAAAAGATATGGGACGACTAACACAAACGAGTGTCAACGATTAACCCCAAAACGTTTAGTAGAATCTTTATACAGAAGAGGTCTACCATAGAGCGACAAAGGGGGAGGGGGGGGTGTCGAAGAACGACCTGCTTCCGAGTAAAAGTCATAGGACAAGTCTTAGTTATAGAGAACTTGAAGCCCTGATCGGTGGCCTGGGACGTCACGGCATCAATTTCAAGTTGAAACCATCGTTGGTGGAATGGTGAGTCACCATCTTGACAGCAGAGGTTAAGATCGTCGATATATAGAGCTGAGAAAATTCCAGAGGGAAGGGAGGAAAGAAGACCATTAAGGGCAACGAGAAAAAGAGTAATGCTCAGAACACTAACTTGAGGTACATCATCGTTTAGCCGAAAAGAGCCAGAGAGAGTGATACCAAACCTCACTTTGAAGGAACGACTTGAGAGGAAGCTTTGGAGGAAGAAAGAGATTACCACGAAGGCCAAAAGAACGGAGTTGGGACAGAATATGGTATCTCCAGGTGGTGTCATACATCTTTTCCAGGTCAAAAAGCACAGCAACAACGTAGATCTTCGCAGCAAAGTCAGTACGAATATAGATCTCCAAGTTCTCGAGGACATCAGTCATGCCACTACACTTGTGAAAGCCAAATTGAGAAGGGGGAGAGGTGGTGATAGGGTTCCAAGAACCACATCAGATGGACAGTGACCATATGTTTAAAACGTTTGCAGACGCAACTCGTTAGGGCAATGTAGGAGAAGTCTTTAGGGGATATCCCTAGAGAACCTGGTTTCCGAATAGGAAGAACAACCACTTCAAGCAAGTCATCAGGAACTGACGATGACTCCCAGATACGACTATAAATATTGAGTAAATACTACAACGTGCATGAAGGGAGATGGTGAAGCATCTCATAATGAATGTCATCTGAGCCCACTGCCGTAGAACAGACTGGAGTTCCGAGAGAGAAAGAAGGGATCATTATAGGGAAGCTGGAGATGTGTGAGAAAATCTAAGGGGCAAAATTCAAGAAGGAGCTTACGAGTAAGGAAAGATGGAGGAAGATGAGAACCAGAGCTAACAGTCGAAAAGTGCTGAAAATCAGAGCTAACAGAAAAGGGTGCGCGTGTGAGTCAACCTGAGTGGTTTCACCAGAAGAATTCAGAAGAAACAGAGAAGAAGAGAGGGCAGTTGGTTCAAAAAGGCGGCCCCGGGTGTTTGTCAGAACATCTTCCCAGAAGGTGTGCCGACAGTTAAAATCACCCAAAATGAGCACAGGCTCTCGTAAGGAGTCCAACAGGTGTATAAGATCAAGAAGAAAAAGTGGATCATTTGGGGGGAAATAAATGGAACAGATTGTATACCGCTTACTCACAAAAGATACGGGCCGCAGAACACTGAATGTGCGACTGAAAAAGTAGGGAATATCATTATGTATCAAGAGAGCAGTAGAGTGATGGGCCCCAGCCAAAGCTGGAGGGGAGGGGAAACAAAAAGAAATAACCGCAGA